CGCGCGGCCTCGCTGGGCGACGGCGATGCCACGTCGCCGCCACGCCCCCCCCCGCCCCTGTGGGCGGCGCGCCCTGGCGGCGGTCGGGGGCGGCGCCGGCGCAGGTGCCGCCGCTGGCGCCACCTGCAGCCGAGGCTGGCTGCCGGGGTCGTGTTGCCACGAGCCCTTCCTGTGCACGTCTCGGCATCTCGGGGCGCTCTCTCCCTGCTGCGCCCGGCTTCTCGCGCCCCGTCGGGCGCGGGCGCTCGGCCGGCGCGTCGCCGCGCGCGCGCGCGCGCCCCCGCACGGTGTTGAGGGGAGGCGCGCAGCTCGTGGCGTCTGGTGGCGTTTCTCTGCGAGCCTTTGAGGGTGCCCGTGTTGTGCCGGCACGGGTCGCCCCCCCCCCCCCCACTCCTGGTGATCTGGTCGCCCAGTTGCTCGGTCCACTGGGGCGTGCATCCCCACGCCGCCCTCGGGCTGGCCTGGCGAGGCGCTCGTGGGCCGTCTCTTGGGGCTCTCTTGGAGTCGTTCCTGACTGGCATCGGGGGTCCTCGCCTCGGGGGTCCGTTTGGGCCGTCTTGGTGCCCGTCTTGGGGGCCTCTTGGGCCCTCTTGGGCCGTCTTGAGCTCCTCTGGGGCCGTCTCTTGGGGCGTCGTCGGCCCCTCCTTGGCCGCCTTGGGCCCACTGGGCCGTCTTGGGGCCCTCTTTGGGCCCTTCAGGGCCCCTCTTGAGGCGCCTTTGCGGACCTCTTGGGTTGTCCGTGCCGCTCTCAAGGCGGACGAGGCGACCATGCAAAACCACGCAAAACCAACGGGAGTCAAGAAGTCATCTTGAGCTGCTTGGGGCGTTCCAGCAGGGGCCTCGCCTTCGAGGCTCGGAGGATTTGACGTCTCTTCCTTGGCAGAAGGTCGGCGGACGCCGGCAGGAGCAGAACGAAGGCGGCTTCGCAGACGGAAGCTGGCGGAAGGCTGGCGGAAGCTGACAGAAGTAGAAGTTGCCCCCCCAAGAGATGGTACCTTGTTAGGGGCCCAGGATGTCCGAAACCGAGCATTTTGGGGCCGTCTTGGCGGGTCTGAGATAACATCTGGAGCAGATGGCCTACCGGGCACCATCTGGCCAGACCCCCAGCACCGTTGGCCAGACCCACTCCCCTCCAGGCCAGCCAGACTGCTCCCGGGGGACGGGTTTGGGGAGGGGCGCTCATCTCACTTGCCGAGGGAGCTCCAGAGTGTCGGCGGACTCGGTGTCGTGCAGTGCAAAGAAGTACGTAACGGCGCGTCTTAAACCACGGCATTGTCCAGCGTGTCGTGGCACGGCAGCTTTCCCCAGTATTGTACAGACATTGCATGGCATTGCGAAGCATGGCATTGCATAGCAGTGCACAGCATTACATAGCATGGCGTTGCAACACATTCATGACGTAAAGCATCGCCCAGCACGGTGATGCATTCCAACAGAGCATGACGTAGCAATGCATAGTATCGCACAACGTAGTACAGCAGCACGTTTGAATGTGACCATCGGGCCCTTTGCGCACAAGAAGTGAGGACCCCTGTGGCAATGCCTCACGTCCCATTCGGATATTCGTCATTATCTGTCCCGAAAGTCTTCGTCGCCGTTTCGTTGTTGTACCAATACACCCTAACGCAGTTGTGTACAATTTCATATCCAATGGGGACGTTGGGTGCACGATGCTGTGATGTTTTGTGGAGTGGCTTCTCGGGGTGAGGGGACGCCATGCTTGGAAAGGCGAGGTGGAAGAGAACACCTGCCCATAGAAGGATGTTGTCGTGCAACGGTGCTCGACGTGTAGGGGGCGAATATTTTGGTATTGCTAGGTGCACCTCTGTCAGATCCTCGGCTTCACAGTGCAGGCGAATCTGACCAGCAAATTTCGAGTATTGTTGCGCACGCGTTGTCGCTCCAAAGCTAGATCCACCACACCATCAATCTATCAATGAGATGGATCTGTGCACCTTTGCCGCTGCACCTGACGTATTCCGAGCATTCTGGCCTGCCGCTGTTGCGCCCAAACCCTCCCCCCATGTTTCGTCACTGCTTGTCGGCTCAACTGATAGTCTCTCCGGGGTAGGCCCGACGGAAGCGCTGCCCGACTCGAAGCGCCTGCGCACCAGGCCATGACCTGATGGGATCGCAGGCAAGCCGCCCAGACTGCCAGAGCCCCCGTGACGGCCACGGCTCCCCTCCCCTTCTTTGCCCTGAGGGTTGGACTGCAGACAGGGTACTGGTCTCCGACAGGGTGCCAGATTCAGGGGACAGTGTTGGATTAGCGGCCGGCATTGCACAGGCCAGGGCTAGAAGGGATTACTCCGCCCTGAAGTCTCTCTTGAGGCAGGTCGCGGAGAGCAATTACAAGTTGCGCCGCCGCTGGCAGACTGCTCGGACAGTTCCAGTCAGCCACGCCCAGTGCATGGAATTCGCAGGTAAAGGCCATAACTCACCGAATCTTTCTTTCTCCACGATGTCCACAGCAGATGCACTGCTGCACTTCGGAAGACAGAGAGGTGCCGTGGTGTGCGGGCTGAACTTTGCCAATGGTGAGACCGCTGGAGGGGGATACAAGAAGGGAGCTACAGCGCAGGAGGAGGACCTGTGCAGGCGAGTCCCAACGCTTTACTCCGCTTTGTTCCAGGCCGAGAAGGCTGGCCTTTACCCTTTCGGGCCTTCGACCTGTTGGTTTGGATGCAGGCCCGAGAAGTACGCGGATGTCTTATATACTTCTGATTTGGTGGTCGCGCGAGAAGGTGAAGAGGGTGGCTTTGCACTGCTCCCAGAGCACCGGCAGGCCCGGGTGTCTCTGGTGTCAGCGGCGGCGCCAAACGTGAAGTTCAAGAGCGAGGTGAGCAACCCTGCCTTGATATACAGGGCCATCCAAAGTATTTTCATTGCACCTGTGATGATTGAGCCGCACGTGAACACTCTTGTTCTCGGTGCCTGGGGTTGTGGAGCTTTCGGAGGTGATCCTGCACAGATCAGCGACATGTTCACACAGGCACTCGTTCACGACAACCTTGGGCATCCGTACAGAGAAGTTCATTTTGCAATCCCGCCTGGCAAGGTGGCCCTCCTTTTTTTGCATACCAGTCTAGAGTAAGAGTCGAACGCCCGCTCGAAGTCAAACTGTTCGATGGTCGCATGGCAGCTTGTCGCCAGAAAGCCCGTGCCCGACCTGATTCACCTGTGGCGTGTGTTCGGAATCGTTCCAGCGAGTTGGCTCCCTCTTTCTATCCCCGATTTCTGGGGGGCAAGTCGCTAATCACTAAGAGGGATACAGTGGAACGGGCGCCTTGGGCGGGGTCCGCTCCAGGCCTAGACCGACTTGGATGCCGCTTTCGAAGGCTTTTGCGCCCGTTGGTGTTGATTTCTCATTTCGTAAGACTAATGTTAGCCAGCGTGGATCCGAGACAGTGTGTTTCTAGCACGATAGGTGGTGCAGTCTAGGTGTTGCAATCTATGTGGTGCAATTCATGTGGGGCAATATTTGTGGTGCAACCTACGTGGTGCAATCGATGTTGCGTGATATTGTTGTGCAACCTATGTTGTGCAATCTATGTGGTGCAGTCTATGTGGTGCAATATATGTGGAGTAATCTATGTGGTGCAATTAATCTTGACCGTCTTGAAGCTGTCCTCTCCACTGCTCGTGCAAACATCCCACCCTCCCACCCGCAACTTGGTCGCAAGACCTCTTCAGACAAGACCGTGACGGTAGGTACCAGATGGCACTTGGCCACGACACCGACGCCGACGACGACAGCGACATCGACGACGACGGCGCCGCCGACACCGACTGCGACGACACCGACGACGTTTTCAATTTTTTCGACGACGACAACGACGACGACACCGACGACGACGACGACAACGACGCCGACGACGACGACGAAGACGACGACGTCGCCAACGGAGACGACGACGAGGGAGGAGAAAAAACGACGACGGCGACAACGACGACAACGACGACGACGACGACGACGACTAGCAAGCCCTTCGATCCAGCAGGAGACCACGCGGGCGGGCGCCGGGCCAGCTGCGGGCGGGCGCCGGGCCAACGCAACCACGATTCTCGCGAGCCTCGGGCCCCCCCTTTCCCCGCCCTGCCGCCGCGACGACGACGACGACGACGACGACGGACGACGACGACGACGGCGGACGACGACGACGACGACGACGACGACGACGACGACGACGACGACAACGACGACGACGACGACGACGACGACGACGACGACGACGACGACGACGACGACGACGACGACGACGACGACGACGACGACGGCGCGCGCGCATGTGTCCCGCGTGGTATTATTTGACACGGACAGTGGCCCTGGCAGGCGCGCGAACGTCGTTGAAGGAGCGCGTGAAAGTAGCTCGCACGAGCTCGTGCGGCCGAAATGTTGAAACAAAAACATTGGTTTTGTAAGGTTCGGACAGCGCGAGCGGGCAAAAAATTGAAAATCCGTGCAGGTTTTTTCCAAGGACCTACGGTGCGATTCGTGTGTTTTTATGATACGCAGTGCTGAAATGCTCAAGAAACCCAATGGTTTTTGAAGATTTCGGCGCGCGCGCGCGAAGAAAAAACGAATGTGTCCCGCATGGCATTATTTGACAAGGATTATGCCCCTGGCAGGCGCGCAGCCGTTGTTGAAGAAGTTCGAAGCGCAGGAAAAAGTTGCTCGCAAGAGCCCTTTTGACAGAAATGTTGAAAAAGTAGTGGGTTTCCTAGGGATCCGCAACAGCGCGCGGGGTGAATGTTTGATTTTTTTTTTTTTTTTGAAAAACCATTTTTTTTTTTTTTTTTTTTTTTTTTTTTTTTTTTTTTTTTTTTTTTTTTTTTTTTTTTTTTTTTTTTTTTAAATTTTTTTTTAAACATTATTTATTAATATATATATATATATATATATATATAAAATCGTTACGAACACTTAAGGTTTTGGAAGGATTTCGTCTTGCGCGCGCGAATGTGTCCCGCATGGTATTACTTGACAGGGATTCGTGAAAAAGTGTTATGTTAGAAAGAAAAATGTCCCCGCATAGTGTTATTTGACAGGGAACCGCAGAGTGGGGGGATACCGGCTTGGCTGGGATGGTACGAATTCATATTTAGGATGGACATGTGGTCATAATCATATGTGATTTACAGCACGCGCGGGGGAACCGAAGTCCGGGGGGGGGGGCAGAATCTATTACCTTTTTAGAAAAGAGAATCTATGTGGAGTAATATATGTGGTGCGATCTATGTGCAGCACTTTATGTTGTGGAAAATGTGTGGTACGATCTATGTTTTGCAATATAGTCGGTGTAACTCATGTAGGGCATTCTATGTGGTTCCACTGTCTTCGAAAACTTGGAGTTGTCAACTCCACTGCTCGCGCAATCATCCCATTCACCCGACCGCAGAAAGGATTGCAACACCTATGCGGCGGCGATTCCGATGGGTGCGTTGTGTTGGCCGGTGCATGTCTGCGGCCGCGCTAGCGCATGCTCGCGCGCACATCGGCCAGTTAGTTCGGCGCGTTCAAGGCGGCTGCGCTGGCGCTGACCGCTGGGCGCTCAGCGGGCATTTCAGTGCGAGGCGGTGATTTGACCGGGCGCAGTATCATGGCGACGTCGACAACGCTGGACATAATGATGATAGTAGCGATGATGGTGGCGATGATGGCGATGACAACGGCAAGGCCGATGATAGCGCCGATGTTGATCACGCCGATGACGATTACGATGTCCTCGCGTTGGTGATGAAGGCTTTGACGCGCGCGAGTGGCCCGCATTGTATTCTTTGACAGGGATCGTGCCCCCCCCAGCATGCGCGCAAGGGCGCTCGAATAATTTCGACACGCGGGGCGAGAGGCCCGTTTGGTCGAATTTGGGGTGTCTGTTAAAAGACCAGTGTATCTTTGGGGGGGAATTCGCAAAGGGAGCGCGCGCGCAGACCTTTCTTGAACACTGATGTTGCACAACCAGGTTTTTTTGCATGTTTTCGGGACGCTCGATGTTGACATCCTTACGAACCCGGAGGTTCCTCCAGGATTTCGGCATGCGCGCGCGGCGACGCGCGCGTGTGCACCTCGTCCCATTCTCTTGCAAGTGAGCTTTTGCGACAGCTTGCGCGCAAGGGCGTTCGAACGACTTCGACATGCGCGCGCGCGGGAAAGGCACGTTTGGTAGCACTTCATGGAAAAAGTTGTAAACATATGGTTTTCTGAAGAATTCGCCAGAGCGCGAGCGCAATTTCGTTGTTGGAAACTTTCTGTTGCGAAGGTATTGTTTCATTATGTTTCAGCGACGTGCGATTCCGACACCCTTACGGAACCTTTGTTTTTTTTGAAGGATCTCGGCATGCGCGCGCGACGACGCGCGCGTGTGCACTTCGTCATGTTTTTGTCGTGCAAGGGATTTGTGTCAGCTGGTGATTTTTGATATACAAGTGTACGCTCAAATCTTCTGTTACAAAGGATGAGGGAGGGGGACCGGTAAAGGACCGCTTGGGATGGTACGCGTTCATATTTAGGACGGTCGACGGGGCATAATCATAGGTACAGTGCAATACAAATAAAGGTGGACTGTTAAGTCCAAGATTGAGAAAATCTTAGTATATTTCTAGGAACGAGAATGTGTGTTGTGCAGTTTTCATGTAGCAATCTATGCACGATTTTTTGTTTATTTATTTTTAATTTATATGTATATATATACATTGTCTATATATATACATATATATATATGAACGTATTGACACATCCCACGCTCTTGCAAACATCCAGCCACCCACCCGCAACTTGGCTTGCAAAGCCCATGCGGCGGCGATTGCGATGACTGCTTGGCGTTGGCTGATGCATCTCTGCGGCCGTGCTCGCACAAGCACGCGCGCGCAGCGGTGGGCTAGTTTGGCGCGACCGACGCGGCCGCGGTGGCGCTGACCGCTGGGCACATCCCAGAAGGCACTTCAGTGCGAGTCGGCGGCTGGGTCAGGCGCGGCATCATGGCAACGTCGACGACGGTAGACACGATGCTGCTAGTAGCGATGCTGGTGACGATGTTGACGACGACGAAGGCGCGGCCAGTTACGGCGCCGATGCGGATCACGCCGACGACGATGACGGCGTCTTTGCGTCGGCGATGAAGGTTTTAGAAACAGTTCTACATGCGCTCGCGGCCGACGCGCGAAAATGGCACGCATGGCATTATTTGGCACGGGTCGTGCCCCCCCCCCCCAGTGCGCGTGCGCAAGGGCGTTCGGGGGATGTCGGCATGCGGCGCGACAGGCCCGCGTGGCACAATTCCATGAAATGGTTGAGAACCTAAGGCTTCCTCTGGAATTCGCAAGCGAGCGAGCGCAGGCTTGTTTTGAGAATTGATGGTGCGAAACCATGCGTTATTTGTAAATGTTTTCGGGGCACACGTGTTTTGAAATCGCTGCAACGCCGAAGGTTTGTGACGTATTTCGGCACGCGCGCGCGACGACGCTCGCGCGTGCACTTCGTCCCGTTTTTTGCAGCAAAAAGGGTTCTCGCGACAGCGCGCGCGCAAGAGCGCTCGCACGATTTCGACATGCGCGCGCAAAGCCTTTTTTGGTAGCATTTGATGGAACAATGGATACATTTTCATATGACAAAATCGCATTAGCGCGGGCGCAGTTTTTTGTTGTTTTTGTTGTTGTTGTTGTTTTTTTGTTTGTTTGTTTTTTTTTGGTTGTTTTTTTGTTTGTTTTTTGTTTTTTTTGTTCCTTCTTCCGTGTTCCGAAACCTCAGGTTTTCGAGCGATTTTGGGATGCGCGCGCGACGACGCGCGCGTGTGCACTTCGTCTACTTGTTTGCGAAGGAAACCGGCTTATTTTTGTTAAAAGAACGCGCCCGCGTAAAATCGTTTTAGGTGCCGATACCGGCCCGGCTGGGATGATATGTATTCATATTTCGGATGGACGACGGGGCAGAATTATTTGTAAGTTGCAATGCGGAAAGAGGGGGCGGATCATCCCGGGGGAAGTTACAATCTATTTATCTTATGATGGGATATATAGGCGGGGCATTCTTTGTGGTGCATTTGATTTTAACAAGCGAAGTAACCCATCCCATGCTCTTGCAAACATCCCGTTCACCCACCCGCAACTTGGTTTGCAAAACTCACGCGGCTGCGATTGCGATGAGTGCTTGGCGTTGGCTGATGCATCTCTGCGGCCGTGCTCGCCCAAGCACGCGCGCGCAGCGGTGGGCTAGTTTGGCGCGACCGACGCGGCCGCGGTGGCGCTGACCGCTGGGCACATCCCAGAAGGCACTTCAGTGCGAGTCCGCCGCTGGGTCAGGCGCGGTATCATGGCAACGTCGACGACGGTAGACACGGTACTGCTAATAGCGATGCTGGTGGCGATGTTGACAACGACGAAGGCGCGGCCAGTGACGGCGCCGATGCTGATCATGCCGACGACGATGACGGCGTCCTCGCGTCGGCGATGAAGGTTTTAGAAACAGTTCTACATGCGCTCGCGGCCGACGCGCGAAAGTGGCCCGCATGACATTATTTGACACGGGTCGTGCCCCCCCCCAAGTGCGCGTGCGCAAGGGCGTTCGGGGGATGTCGGCATGCGGCGCGACAGGCCCGCGTGGCATAATTCCATGAGATGGTTGAAGAACTTATGGTTTCCTCCAGAATTCGCAAGAGCGCGAGCGCAGGTTTTTTGGGAGAATTGATGCTGCGAAACCATGTGTTATTTGTAAATGTTTTCGGGGCACACGTGTTTGAAATCGCTACAACACCGAAGGTTTTTGACGTACTTCGGCACGCGCGCGCGCGACGACGCTCGCGCGTGCACTTCGTCCCGTTTTTTGCAGCAAAAAAGGGTTCTCGCGACAGCGCGCGCGCAAGGGCGTTCGCACGATTTCGACATGCGCGCGCGAAGCCTTTGTGGTAGCATTTGATGAAAAGAGTGATACATTTTTCATATGAAAAAATCGCACGAACGCGGGTAATCTCAGGTTTTCGGGGGATTTCGGGATGCGCGCGCGACGACGCGCGTGTGTGCACTTCGTCCAATTGTTTGCGAAGGATTCTTGAAACCTGATTGTTTTTGTTAAACGAGTGCGCCCGCGTAAAATCGTTTTAGGTGCCGATACCGGCCCGGCTGGGATGATATGTATCTATATTTCGGATGGACGATGGGCAGAATTATTTGTAAGTTGCAATGCGGAAAAAGGGGGCGGATCATCCCGGGGGGAGGTATAATCTATTTATCTTGTTCTAAGAAAGGAGAACTTATGATGGGATATATAGGCGGGGCATTATTTGTGGCACATTTGAGTTTAACAAACGAAGTAACCCATCCCATGCTCTTGCAAACATCCCGTTCACCCACCCGCAACTTGGTTTGCAAAACCCACGCGGCGGCGAATGCGATGAGTGCTTGGCGTTGGCTGATGCGTCTCTGCGGCTGTGCCAACCCAAGCGCGCAGCCCCTTCCTGGGCCCAGGATCTGTGCATACGCCCTTCTGGGGCAAGCCAGGAGGGGATGGCGTATACACCGCGGCTGGGTTCAGTATTGGCCTGGCTAGGGAGCAGTGGATATGTATAGATTTCGTTGCCCTACCCAGGGGGTCTGGTGGCCGCGCCAACCCACGAACACAACACATCGCTCTGAAACGTTCCAGAACGCTCTGAGAGTATTCCGGCACGCCGCTCTGCAAAGACCGCGGCGCTTGATACATTTCCCAGACCCGCCAGATCTCAGGGATCCCCGCTATATCCCGATGCGATTCTGTCCCGATCCTGTCTTCGTCTTGGGGCAGGGGGGCCTTCCTGGGCTCGCCGCCTCGGCGCTGGGATTGGGGCTCCAGCTTCGTTCCAGCCCCGGCTCCAGTCCCGGCGCCATTTTCGAGCTGGGAGTGAGTGCTTCCCAGCTCGACCTCTACCTTTCGCCTCTGGCCGGCTGGGGAAGGAGGGAGGAGGATGAGATAGCTGGCTGGTTGGGGAAGGAGGGAGGAGGATGAGATAGGATCGACGATCGAGGAGGT